TGACCCACAGACTCGATACAAACACCGTGACACACACATACAGAGGACAAAAGACAGCCAGTTTAGCCTTAACCTTACCAAAGCGTTGTTGGCGAGCACCTATTAAGATTGGGGGCATGGGCCATGATGATGGGGCCAGGGCAAGACAAATTCCCCCCCCTCCCGTCTAGCCTCAACAGAGTGTTGGGGTAAGAGCTGTGAGCGAGTAGCAGCACCGATGAAGTCTGGCGTGCGGACACAGAGGTGGGGGGTTGTGGCCGAGATCCGTGCGGTTGAAACCGCTGAGGTCCACCCCGCACGTGAACGGGCGGGGCGAGCCGTGGTGCAGCGGTTGGCGCGCGCCGCGAACTCCGATTAGGGGCCATCCATTGAGTAGGCACGCAAAAATCTGTCAACTTGACCTCTCCCTGTACGCACGCGGACTTTTTATCCCCCACCTGCGTACGTACGCTTGACGCACCCCCCCCCCCCCCCCCCCCGAATCCTATAGAACGGCCGATATATGACTGGGCGCCATTGTGGCGAGATGTTAACTACCTCGCCTGGTATGCAGGAGGTCGTGGGTTCGAACCCGACCCTGACGCCTGCTGTATATTTGGAGTTTGTGTGTCTCTCTCCCTGTGTTTGCGTGGATTTTCCTCCGTGTCCTCCGGGTTTTCCCTCCGCATTTATAAACGTGCGTTAAGAGTATTTGGCTGCTATAAATTTCCACGTGATAAGCCACTGCTTCTGAAGAGCTATATGGTTCAGGGCGCCTTACCTGGTAAAATTAAAAATCGTTTAGTTTGCTATAGATGTAGTGGAGTAGGAAGGTGCGTAGTACGAACAGCGTGATTACATGATCACACAGACAGTACGGGTTATCTTGGGTCAGCCTGTAGCGAAGGCGAATACAGTGCAGGTTATGTTGGGGCAATTAAGCTTGGAGAGCCGTGGACGGCTGTGATTGGTTGGTGCTGTTGCCAGGGCTAGAGTGGCGCCTAAAGGTCTGGAGGAGAAACAGGTGGAGGGTCACACGGAGTGCCGTTGGGACGCAGACTAATTAATTGGGGAGTAATGAGAGCGGGGATAAATTGGGGGGTCGGCAATTGGAGCGAGGTTGTTGAAGTTGGAGAGCTCGGAGTGAACAGCGGGGAATTGAAGAGTGGAGAGCTTGGAGACAGAGTGATAGCGGAGCTGAAGACGAGAATAGCGAGCAGTGGAGAGAGCGTAGCTGAAGACGAAGAACAGCCAGCAGTGGAGTGAGCATAGTGACGGTGATAGCGGAGAACAGAGATGAAGCAGTTAGCAGTGGAGTGAGCATAGAGACGGTGATAGCGGAGAACAGACGAAGTAAATTTTGATTTAAAGCTTTCGTGACTGCAGTAATTCATATTCTTAGCTCTTTCGGTAAAGTCACGTTGAAGGGAAACAATAAAATAATAAAATATATATAAAACAATAAAAATTCTCACGACGTGTCGACCATAACACAAACGGTCGTCATCAGGTGTGTCGGTTCGCATCTATTTATTTATTTATTCACATGACATTGACTTTTCCAAGACAGGTTCTTTGTAAGCCATCTGGCTACCATGAGAGATTCGTTCATGAGGCTAACCACATATACAAGCACAGAGACAATTTCAACCGAGAAGATGGATTCTGGCTTAGCAATCATTGGAAGGATTTGATAAACCATTTCAGGTCTTAATTGATTGTTCACGCTTACGGTGGCTTTCAGACGGCATACATTAATTTTTCGTCTCCATCCTCCTCTTTTCAGAACATAGATGGACTCGTCCTTCTAAATAAACTGCCAAATCGCTGCGCATGGCGCTGACGTTTTTTTAAATAAATAAATACACCGTTTAAAAATAACTAATTTAATGCAAACCGACACTTCTATCAAATGTTTCTTGCCGTTGGTTTTTTCACACCTGATGATGACCGTTTGTGTTATGGTCGAAACGTCGAGATAATTTTTATTGTTTTATATATATTTTATTATTTTATTGTTTTCCTTCAACGTGACTTTACCGAAAGAGCTAAGAATAAGAGACGAAGTAGTTAGCAGTGGAGTAAGCATAGTGACGGTGATAGCGGTGAACAGAGACGAAGTAGTTAGCAGTGGAGAGACCATAGTGACGGTGATAGCGGAGAGCGGAGACGAAGTAGTTAGCGGCGGAGTAAGCGAAGTAATCGTGGGGAGTGGAGAGACAAAGGTGGCGAGCGAGTCGAGTGAAGCACGGCTAGCGAGCCGTGGCGACCAGGATACTGTGGAATGTGGAGGACATGCTGAGAGTTGTAAATAAAGCGGTGTTCGAAGAAAGACAGAAGTTATATTTTTAGTTTTTTCGGTAAAGTCACGTTGAAGGGAAACAACAAAATAATCAAATATATATAAAACAATAAAAAAATTCTCACGACGTTTCGACCATAACTCAAACGGTCGTCTTCAGGTGTGTTGGTTTGCATAAATTTATTTTTAAACGGCGCATTTATTTATTTATTTAAAATCCGTTAGCGCCACGCGCAACGATTTGGCAGTTTATTTAGGACTAGTCCATCTATATTCTGAAAAGAGGAGGGGGGAGACGAAATTTTTTATAATGTATGCTGTATGAAAGCCACTGTAAGCGTGAACAATCAATTAAGACCTTTCAGACAGCATACATTATAAAAAAAATCGTCTCCCCCCTCCTCTTTTCAGAATATAGATGGACTAGTCCTAAATAAACTGCCAAATCGTTGCGCGTGGCGCTAACGTTTTTTATAAATAAATAAATGCGCCGTTTAAAAATACATTTATGCAAACCAACACACCTGAAGACGACCGTTTGAGTTATGGTCGAAACGTCGTGAGAATTTTTTATTGTTTTATATATTTTTATTATTTTGTTGTTTCCCTTCAACGTGACTTTACCGAAAAAACTAAGAATATGAATTACTGCAGTCACGAAAGCTTTAAATCAAAAGACAGAAGTTGTCCGAGTGAAATCGAACACTACATACATATTCTTCCTTGTGTGGTCACACGGATAGGTGTCTTTACCTCCGATTAGCTACGCACGGTGCGAAAGAAGTTCAACATACTGTACATACAGTGCCGTTATTGATAAACGCGTTGCGGTTGCCAAAGGTTTTTATTTTTATACGAGTTCATAAAGCCTGTCTTTGCCAAGCAAACGTTTTAAATACATATATTCATTAACCAGATATGATTATTATTTTTACAATTTGTATTTATGATCAGACACAAACAACTCCTAAAAAAATGTATTTTTCCGCAAACAAAAACACATTGTTGATGACTTCATTCGGCTTCGTATATTTAAAGACGTACCTATCGGGAACCGCTGAATTTAAAGATTCCGTTCTTTTTTTTTTATTAAAAAGAACAAACATTTCTTAACTTAATACTCTGAGGGGAAAGTCCTTTCTTTTACAAAGTTTTCGAATTATTCAGATTTGAACGTCATAAAATATGTATTTTTTTCGTTCAAAATCGCTTTAATCCGAAATATCAAAAACAATCAAAGATAGAACAATGATTCTCGCTTTAATTTTATTAGCTGTTTAACGCCTTATCAAATGAAAAATAACGCAATCTTATATTTTGAACGGTTTCATGCAATGCACGCACAACATGATTATGGAGCACTTACAATCGTGATTTGGGGGTCTTAAAATAAAAAAATCTCGGATTTTCTGATTTTTCCTGTTTTGTGTCTGAAAAGTTACCTATGTACCAAATGTCAGCTTTCTACCTTGTCGAGAAGGACCCTAGAGGTTTTTGAGACATACAGATTCAGGTCTTTATACAGATAAAATATGTGTATTCCACATCCTCCCTCACATCATACATTGACGAGTATAGATCAACATTCTGACGTTCCGGGCGGTAGTTCCAGGGGCATCGACGGTATGAGGCACACCGGACTCACCAGAGCAGGCGGGGGAGAGGGGTAGGGGGCAAGGGGGGGGAGGAGGGGGGTTGGAGGGGGGGTTTCCCCGGTCGTTACCTTTCTGGGTTCAGATGTGTAAGACTGGTCTAAAGTTCAGGTGTATAAGACTGATCTAAGGTTCAGGTGTGTAAGACTGGTCTATGGTTCAGATGTGTAAGACTGGTCTAAAGTTCAGGTCTGTAAGACTGGTCTAAGGTTCAGGTATGTAAGACTGGTCTTTGGTTCAGATGTGTAAGACTGATCTAAAGTTCAGATGTGTAAGACTGGTCTAAATTTCAGGTGTGTAAGACTGGTCTAAGGTTCAGGTGTGTAAGGCTGGTCTAAGGTTAAGGTGTGTAAGACTCGTCTAAGGTTAAGATGTGTAAGACCGGTCTAAGGTTTAGGTGTGTACGACCGGTCTAAGGTTCAGGTGTGTATGACCGGTCTAAGGTTCAGGTATTAAGACCGGTCTAAGGTCTAGGAATGGACCCCATGTTCGTGTGTACTCTTCTTGTCTCTGAGCTTATAGCTAAGATGCTCCAAGGCTGAGATTGGGCCTCATGAATTCAGCCATTGAGTATGGGAGGGTAGGGGTGGTTCATGATTATTTCACATACTGTACTCAATAGGGTTTTCCTGGCCGCTATATTGAAAGTCCTGGGCTCCACGATTGAACCGGGAGTTCTCTTGCCAATAATATCTGGCGACCCAGCAACGTACATAGTTCGACAAGCTATTCAGGCTATGCTGAGAAGACCCAGAAGTGTCAACCCAGTTGTGAATTTGCTTGCCTACACAATGCCGCTGGGTAATTATTGATCTAGAAATTATTGAATTTTGATTTAAAGCTTTCGTGACTGCAGGGATTCATATTCTTGGTTCTTTCGGTAAAGTCACGTAGAAGGGAAACAATATGATTTTATTGTTTCCCTTCTATGTGGCTTTACCGCAAAGAAGCCAATAATATAGAAATTATTGGTTTAGAAAACGACACAAAACTAGAGTTTAGCTAATAAATGTTTTACCGAATTCACAACAGATTAATGCAATGGTATCTGTCCTCGTGTATTGCAGATGGAGGCGTGAAGATGAATCATCCAATCGAGCAATATTACAGGACTCTATATAGCAGTTATACTTGGTGTGTGTAAGCAGACGGACAGAATACTTCTCGAGAGTGAGTCCACTCAGTTGTGGGTAGAGAGAGACACTGAGGAGAGAGAGAGAGACAGTGGAAAGAGATACACAAAACCAGAGACACGGGGAAATATAGATACAAGGAGTGAGACACAGGAAGAGGGATACACGGAGACAGCGTCGCTAAGACAAACACCGTGAGACTGAGAGAGGTACGCACAGGAATAGAGAGACACGCGGAGAGGGAGAGGGAGGGAGCACGTGTGTGCGAGAGAAAGGGAGAGCGGCAGGGAGAGAGAGGGAGGGAGCGGCCGCCATGCCGGAGCCGAGCAGCGACTACCACGTGGTGGTGTTCGGCGCGGGCGGTGTGGGCAAGAGCTCCCTCGTGCTGCGCTTCGTGCGCGGCACGTTCCGCGAGGCCTACGTGCCCACCGTGGAGGACACCTACCGTCAGGTGAGCCCCCCCCCCACCTCGTCAACTCCACTTTTGTTCATATGTATGCATGCATGTTAAACTTCTTTCTCACCGTGCGTAGCCAAATGTGCTCATCGGAGGTGCGAAGCATTTACACCGTGTGGACCCGGGGCCTTGCCGGGGCTGTCTCGGCACAGCCGTAAGGGTCCCAGGTTTTTCCACCGCCACGCATGCCCAGTTGGGGATGTCGTGCGCGGTGAGCAAATGCGGGGATGCTGTGGTGGCACCGCGTCCTCCTCACAGTGTACCGATCTACGTCGCACGCCATGAACGCGGCATTCGCCCCGACCGTGGCCTACTTGGCCCCTCAGCCAGTGTTGTGAGGCCGGTGTAGCACGGTTTGGTTCTGACTCTGCCAATGGAAAAGGGCGCGTGCCGCGAGGACCCGCGTTGGCTCGACTCGGATGTGCCAGTGAAAAAGCAGTATTTGTATATCGCTGGATACTGTATATCTGAGGAAATTGTAATATCTGTGTGTATCCATCTCTCTTTGTGTTTCTCCTATACCTGCGTATCTACATGTATATATCTATCTGTGCATCACGCAGGTGATCAGCTGCGACAAGAGCGTGTGCACGCTACAGATCACCGACACCACGGGCTCACACCAATTCCCCGCCATGCAGCGGCTGGCGATCTCGCGTGGCCATGCCTTCCTGCTCGTCTACTCGGTGACGAGTCGCCAGAGCCTTGAGGAGCTACGGCCCATCTACGACGTCATCGCGCAGATCAAAGGTGCGGCGCGATGCGACGTGGTGTGACCCGGCGTGGTGTGGTGAGGTGCAACTTCGTCACCACAAGCCCTCACCCCTCCCCTCGTCTCCCCTCCCCTCGTCTCCCGTCCCTGCATCTCCCATGGTCTCCCAGGCGATGTGTCGGCTGTCCCCATGATGCTTGTGGCCAACAAGTGCGACGAGACGGCGCGCGAGGTGGCAGCCGGCGAGGGCGAGACGCAGGCCAAGGCGTGGCGCTGCGCCTTCACGGAGACGTCGGCCAAGATGGACTACAATGTCTCCGAGGCCTTCCAAGAGCTGCTCACGCTCGAGAAGCGGCGGCACATGAGCCTGCAGGTGAGTGAGCAGGGGAGGGTGCATGGTTGATGTTCGTGCCCCCGCGCGGGAGACCATCGTCACCACTGCCGTAATCGCAGTCAGCATAGTTACTGTCGTCGCCATGATCATCATTACTGTTGTCATCGTTGTCATCGTAATCATCACTTTCGTCACCATTACTATCATCACCTTCGTAGTCACCGTCGCCACCATCACCACTGTCATCGTCATCACCATCACATCTTCATCATCGTCCGTCGGAACCCCCGTGAGTCCCACTGCTCGCACTCGGCAGGTCGGGCGGCTGCCACCATGCGACTTGCATGCGCGCCATGTGATCACTACGTCATGCATGCAGTGCTCTCGGCTGGTCTCGTTGGTCTACGAGTTGGCGGTCTAGACAAGGCTGAAAACGAGAGCAATGCATACGTGGCGTGTGGTAGTTGCGTGGTTCGGGCAGCCCCCCACCTCTGTCCACCAAGCAGTGTAAAATAGGTACGGTGCAGTTATACGACAGGCAGGTCGCGTGTGGTGGGTTAAAGTGTGGGTACTCCCCCCACCTCGTCCGAGCCATTTGACCGGTGTGGAAGAGGAGGCCAAAACACTAATAAAACACTAATAAGACATCAGTGTGAGGGTCGCCACACATTTGAAACCATTAGGGTTTGACACTAAAGGCCACCAGGGGCCGCAAGTGGCTCGCGGGCCTTGCAATGAAGAACGCCGCTCGCTTGAGCTATTGTTCAGTGCAGGGCACTTCCAGCAGCAGTGTCACGAGCAAAGCGGTTGCAGGGCTGCGCCTGCATCGTATGTCGTTATGTCGGGGGAGGTTCATGCTAGGTCAGGTCTGATCCGCCCTGTGCCATCCGAGAATAACTTCACAACCCCCACAAGAGGGCATCGCTGATATCATCGCCTCGGAATGCACGTTGTGCTTAACTCAGCACGACGGTCCGATCGTAGTGCTCAGCCGTGACCAGGCATCGAATTCGGGTCACGCTGGCTTCATAGCACAGTGCAACTAACGACGACGATAATAACTGCTACGTCAGCTCGTTGTAACCCACTCGCTCGCTCGCGTAGAGAAAGAGACGGATAGAAACGGAGGGAGAGGAGACGACTCGACAGAAGCACCAGGAGAATGGAACCGCAGACGAGCAGGAAGGCGACAGCCCCAGAAGTCATGCGGTGATGAGCCCGTGACAAATTTCCGCACTCGCCAAGCTCTGCGGTCCTGTATATACAAAGATGTTATGGGCCGATTAATGAGCGTTTACCTGCGTGCGCGGGGGGGGGGAGGCACTGTACCGGTGCTCAGTGGTACAGTGCATCAGGAGCTCTACTTAAAGTTTCGCTTTTAGTATGTTCGACATGCCACAGTATCGGGTTCATTAATTTTGCTTTACAAAAAAATGTCAAACAGCAGTTTGTTGATGTCTCTTCAAATTTATTAAGGGTTGCGTTCAATTGGTTGGGTGTCGAGGCCTGGTCTTTAGGCCCCAACCCCTTGCGAACACCGCCACTGGGGAGACAAAGGCGGCTGGGTGGACATAGGCTGTCCACCCCCCCTCCCCCCATCACGTGCCATACGTAGCCAACCGTGCTAATCAGATGTACAGGGAAGGACGACAAACTCAACACGAAACACAAAAAAACAGTTCATAGGCGCTGCTACTCACGAACAGCAATTAAGGCTATACGGGGGATCTTTGTTGTGTGACGTTTTCAGGTGGACGGAAAGAAAGGCACCAAAGACTCTAGGAGGAGCCTCAAGGAGCACGTGCGGAGGAGATGCCTGCTCATGTGAAGCTCACGTGATGCTCATGTGGCGGTCACGGAAGCCCTCGCAAGCATGCCCGTCACGGCCCGCGTGCTGCACGGGGTTAACCGGGTCCAACAAGAGTTTTTACGCAAAATTTACTTTTCCTTTATTTCAATTTTTACTTATTATTATTATTGCTATTTTATACTGATATTAACAAACTATTTTTTTAACGTCAGCAACGTTACCCACAACTGCTGTGCGTGCGCTCGTTCGATCACGTGCGCGTGTGTTTTAAATGTTAAAATTTTACATTTTGGGGGTATTTAGTTTTTTAGTCTCTTAAGGGGGAAGCTGCTGTTGCAGCGGTGGAGGAACGATTATCGGTCATCGGCACAACTGCAATTTCCAACTCGGAGGGTGCAGGTTTGACTCGGTCAACGCGAGTTTCTCAAATCCTCTTTCCCCCATGCAACCACCTCTAGCTGTTCACCCGGCTCTACAAACGGGGGTCACAACACATGTCGCGTATGGTGGGGTAAAGTGTGAGTGCTCTATTTTACAAAACGTCTGGCCAGCTTGGAAGAGTAGGCCAAACGTTGCTCTATTAGAGGAAGCACTCTCCTTAGCGAAGGCGCCTTCCCCCAGTGGTGGCGCGAGCCAAGCAGTTGCAGGGCTGCCCCTTTACCTTCTCACCAAGTCTGTTTAAGTTTAAAAACCGTTGTTATTTTTTACGTTTGGTCTTCGCGACGTGCAGATGTCATCGCTCGCCCGATGGTGAGTTTTATTCTAAAAGCAATACCCTACGCATGGAGGGATTTGTCCCTGTTATTTATTATTTCAATCATTTAGCCAGGAAAGCTCCACGACCCTTTTCTTAGGAGGTGTCCTGCCAGGTTTTTTCGCAGTTAGACAAGGGTGAAGATTGCTGCTGTGTGGTCTATCCCAGGGCATCCCCCAGTGGCAGCTTTCCCTGGGCATTAGTATGCCAGTAGGGGAGTGCGGAGAGATGATTGCTGCTGTGTGTGTAATCCCAATTGAGTAAATGTTTCCGCGCGATTTATTTATTATTGACAAATCTGGCCTCGGTCTTGCGAACAACAATATCACAATGGGGCGAGGGGGGGAGTCTGTGTGACGTCGACCGTGCGAGTGCAGCGGACAGCGTGTCGAGTGGTGTTGTATTTTTTTACTTACCACAACCGTGGTATTGATCAGGGCGACCTGCCGGTATCGAACCGCGTGAACCTTCGGCGACACGAGCGGCGAGCACGCCGCCTCTGGGCCGCGCCGCCATCGCTCGCCTCAGGAAGCGTGGAGCGGCCGATTGATTCAGTTGTGTTATTTTAGCGCCCGATGATCGCGTTAATTTAGCGCCTGATTGTTTTTTTTCTGGCTGTACCGCGCACGTGTTGTTTGGTGCAATGTCCGATGTTTCGCACCATACCCCCCCCAGCCGCAAATGCACAAACACGAAAGAGTGTCGGTTCAAAACGATGGCAGTCCGAATGCTTAAACCGTGCTCTTTGTTTACCCAGGGACAGCCTCGCCGAGTCTCAACACTCACTTGTGGTAGCTTCCTGTATTGATCCCGCGGTATGGAGGCAGCAGCCGAGGGTTGGTGGATCACCGCACACTACACACACACACGTGTCGTGACACTCCCTTCTACGCGTGCGCATCGAGGAGAAGCTGTGCCCTTGGCTCGTCAGGCAATGGCGGTTCCAGTGAGTGGACTAATTTTCATCTGTCCCATGGTTATGGGGATTGAGACTCCATCTGCATAGGATAGTGTTACCCCTCATACGCATGGGTTTTCTCCAGGTGCCCGAGTTTCCTCCCATGTGTGTGAATACTCATTCATGGGCTGGAAACATCTCATTATATAGAGGACAGCAGAGCTTGGGCAATTGTTAGCAGTGCCAGCTCCTCACCATTGTGGCTGCTGCTGCCTCTCTACTCATCTGTGGTTCCTCCTGGTGCCTCCGAGTCGCCCTCTCTCCGAGTCATTCTCTCCACGAGAACGAGCGAACACCATGTGGTGGCTATGTTTTAAAAATTTAAGGACAGCTGCTTGGCCACGAATCATTTGACCGTTTGGCTTCCCGTGGAAGGAGGAAACCGGAGGACCCAGAGCACACTGAGCACCACGCTACCGCATACGAGAAGGGGTGACGCGCAGGCTCGCAGAGTCTCATCGGACATCGCGCCGAGCAGCGCACGCCGACGCAACCCGAGCAGCACAACGGAAGAGCCATGCGGCACAAGCGGCGAAAACCCTACGCAAGAATTTCGGTAGAATCTTTTTGTCGTATTTGCAGTTCCGTTTCTTCGTTTGTATTTTAGCAAAACTTTTTGCACTTTTTTAAACTTGAACGGTGGATTGTTTTGCAGTCCAGAAAACAAATAAATATACGATTTATTTAATAGGTGGGGTGGGGGGAGGTATCCCATCAATTTGATTTAAATTCTCAAGTTGTAGACTTTTACATTGGCAAGGTGAGCGGTGGCGCATGGGTTAGCACGCGCTGCGTTGTAAACCCTACACCCCGAGTTCGATTCCCGGTAGCTGAGTGACATCTGCACCAGTCTCTAGGCGTGCCCTGCCACCCCCTCTTTGGTCACCCAACATTTAGCAGTGCGGTGAAGTATGGTCAAACGGTCACCAAGGTCACCACAAGCTTCGAGAGACTTCATCCAGCAGTGGATTGACGGGCTCTGAACCTTTGTAAAGTCCTCGCCATGCAGTGACTTTCGGGGGGGGGGAGGGGCGGTTGTTTAACCATACTTCACACCGGTCAGTCCCGCTTCAGATACCACTCACTAATGATAGCCGTCGCCAGGAGTCGAGCTCGGGTCGCCAAGTTGATAACGCAATGAGCTGACTATTGCACCACTGCTCCCCCATGAGTAAGGTGTATCGTATTTAAAAAGTTAAGTATAGATGTTTTATTCGCTATGCAGTGATTAACCCTTTTGCACCCCCCCCTAACCTTATGTAATTATAATGGAACAGTCTGATGACCCGATTGGGCATCGTGTGGGCTGTACCATCGTCTTGCACGGAGTAGTTTTGTTCACACGCTAAGAGAACAATATTGTCAAATACAGAAAAGAAAAGAAATTTAAATATATAAACATTAAAACAACTGTCAGGGATTTTGCGTTTTTTATTGGTCATTGTGGGTTTGGTGGATCACGTGATGGGAGCCATTCTCCGTTAACTGTAATGATAAGGCGAATGTTGATTGCATCCGTCATAAAAATGTGACCGAGATCGTACAGTTGACGATTCCACGGTGGTTTGTGTAGGTGCTATACGAATGACAGAAGCAACATTTGGATTAAACTCGTATCGCAAACGTGTGCAGCGCTATAACCATGCAGCCTTGTGAGACTCTGGGGACAGTGTTCGCGAGCACCGATTTAAACGCACTCGCAGACGGCGCATCATGTAAATACGTGTTTAACTTTTTGTATCCTATGCATGCATCGTGGGCAACTTATAAAGCACACACCAGTCGGTTGCATGTTTGCTTTTTAGTTCGCGTTTAGGGTAGGAGGTACGACGTAGTAGCAGTCTAACCCGAATGTGTGTTGTTGTGAACTATTAAATTTAACCCGGTAAGGCCCACCGAGCTATGTAGCACTTTTCATAAGCGATCTGGCCACAAATCGTAACTGAACGAGAAGTGGCTTACCGTATGGAAATTTATAGCAACCAAATACTCTAAACGCGTCTTGTCTAAATGTGGAGGGAATAGCCGGAGAACATGCGAATATACAGCAGCAGGCATCAGGGTCGGGGTCGAACCCCACGACCTCCTGTATACCAGGCGAAGTAGTTAACATCTCCTAGACACCGCACCTCTCCGCCACTCGACCGATGCAGCCAAACAAACGACATTGGCAGCTGTTTTGGCCACCGAGGGTCTGGATAGTTTCATGATTCCAAGTTGCGTGTTTTTTTTTCTTTAAACCAGGTGAGAGGAGTTAAGAGAGACTCGGATTGAGTCTCGTTTGCAAGCGTGTCAAAAAGCAGAACAAATACAAAATAAAGTTACGGCAATTAGGAATCGGATCAGAAATAACTGTCACGCGATAATTCGCATAATACTTTATTGCACAAACGTAAATGGTTGTTGTGCACTCACTGCCGCGTAAGTCGGCCCCCGTGCGGACTGTTTACGATCGAGATCATAGCACAATGACGCAATTAAATCACAGGCATATTAAACAGATATAGGGGGTGACAGTTGTACGAACGTTGTACCAGACGATACTAACTTACAAACTTACAGGTGATGTGATCGTAATAGAACAGTCCTCAAAGGACAAAGAGAAAGATCCCCCGTATAGCCTGCACAGGCTCTCGTGGCAAGTGCTGTAAGCGAGCACCTATCACGAGGGGGTGGGTGGACGACACCACGCCCGGCCACCTTTGTCTAATTACACGTCGCACCACGTACTCATTTAAAGCCTAGTTGACCCAGGGAGATCACATTCGTTGTCACCGTCGGTGGTGGTGGTGGTGGTGGTAGTCGTGAGCGGGAATCCAACTGGGGTCCCCGCCAGGTTCGTAGTGCAGTGTCACTCACTCAGGGGTGGGCAACCAAAACAAGAATATATTTTTTTCGAAATTTGATTTTTTTTAAAAACCTCGATGTAAAGAGCCCCAATGCACGTGAATACGAGAGGGCTAAGGGCGTCACGAAGCCGTTCCAGGTCTGACGACCCCTGCGGGTGGAGTGCGGAGCACGGCGGCTGTGTTACCGGGTCGACAATAACCACCACCACCACCACCCACCCCACCACCTTCCCCTCGCTCGAGTTCACCGATTAGTGCGGCGGCTAAGATGCGTTGTGGCGGCGATGGTTGAATGTTGTTCGCGGGCAGTGTGAAGTGAAGTAGCGTGGCTCGCGTCGGGCCCCTCGGGGGTTGTTGCAGCCCCCACCGCGGGGTCGAGGTTGGGGCTGGCCGTGGTGAGGGTGGAACATCCATCCCTCACGATCCGCTCACCACGAGCACCATTACTACTACCGAGCATCACCAACAACACCCACGCTGTGACCGTGTCGTCGATTATAGCTTCATTATTTGAAGTTTTGAATACGTCGTTATTATTGTTGGTGCTGTTATTATTTGGTGGAGATATAAGCTCCCGGGGTATCCTTGAACAACAACAAAAAGCCCCATGATTACCCACACCCGCACGCGCGTGTGTTTGTAAAGAGTGCATACACGCTGAGCCATCGGCGGGAGATGGAGCGGTACATTCGGATCGTGCGCGCTGCTGATGCCAGACGGATCCCTGGATCGCGAGATATCCCGACCGCATGACAGCCTTCATCCTAGGATACGGCAAATAAGGGGCGACCGCTCGGGGCCCCCGCGATTGGGGGGGTGGGCGTGCTTCGACGTCACAGTGTTCGATGTGATACTTCCGGTATCGTTTGAGGGCGTCGGGACGCCCACGCGGTGGGGTTTGTCCCGCCCCCCCCCCTCCATGGATGGCTCTGGAGACCGGCACGCACAAATGGCCACTCGTGCGGAAATAGGCCACGGTGGCTAGGAGATGTTAACCACCTCGCCTGGTATACAGGAGGTCGTGGGTTCGAGCCTGACCCCGACGCCTGCTGCTGTATATTTGGAGGTTGCATGTTCTCCCCGTGGTCGCGTCGACCTTACCTGGTAAAATTAAATTAAATTAGTTGAGACGTCACAGACTCTTTTACATTTCCACTGTGAAGCAGACGGCGGTAGGGTGTTTTCATGGTTGATCCGACAGTACAGTATTAATCTGGGCTGCCACTGGGCCCGAACCGCGACAACGAGCGGCGAGCGCTGTGTTGCATCACTGCCCTCGTCAACGCTTAACACGAACACGCTCGTGAATACCGCTGCGTGTAGCCTGAAAGGGAGAACATATATAATAGGTGACGTTTCGGGCAATAGTCCTTCATAGCACACGCATAATGTTCGTAATAATTCACTTTGCCGACTGCTATTATCTGGAGAGTGATAATGTTTTTGGGGGGTATCCAGTTTCCCCTCCCCCGCTACTATCCCCGAGTTGTGTTGCAGTGATTTGTTCTTCCACAAACTCTGCCGTTACAATTCATTTTCTTATTCTTAGCTCTTTCGGTAAAGTCACGTTATTATTTTATTGTTTCCCTTTAACGTGACTTTACCGAAAGAGCTAAGAATATGAATTACTGCAGTCACGAAAGCTTTAAATCAAAATTTTATTCATTTTCTCTTCCATTTAATTCAAATCGTCAGAGTTGCTTTCCCTTCTTCTCAAACGAGTATCGATATCCTCGTCACTCATCTCTCCTGGGGTGTCCCTGAAGCAGTGATGGAAATTCCACATTCCTATGGCAAGATCCGTATCTGTATGTATATGACGGACTACTGTTGGTGGGTTACCACTGTTTAATTCTCTCCGACACGGAACGATGATGATTGGTGGAGTTGAACCTCGACTGGGGGACTTGAACTTGGGTCCTTTTGAACCGTCACCCTCTCTGTAGCACTCTAGACATCTGAGAAAAAAGAGCGTCATAGCTCCTCGGATTCCTCCAGGATAAATGAAGGTTCTGATTCTCAGTCAATACATTTATATTTAATTGAATGACGGTCTTTGGCCGTGTGATTGTCGTACCAACTCGACACTGGTCAGTCCGGCTGTCGCTGCTATATCAGTATTTTTGTTGTATGGCTGATGTATATGCAGAGTAACAACTACAATTTCACATTCCGGTGGTCAAGCCAGATAACCGCGTTAGGAGCAGTGGAGTGTATCGCTGTAATCTTTCCTTCGTATTTGTGGATCGGGCATTGTGTCGTTGTACGTGGTATGGTCTGGTCTGGATGACCACATTCGCACACTGGAGAGTTTTCTTTTTAATTGTCCATTTGTGCATCAGGTATCCGCATCTGCCATGGTTTGTGCGGATACAATTTAGGGTGGACCATGACCTTAATGGAAGATCAAACCCTGGGATCTTCTGCGTTGGAACTATCGCAATTCCCCAATAGTGAATACGAGTGCGGTCTTCAAACCATTATTAACTCATTAGTCAAAGCCTCCTTCCCATCTTTGTCCCAGCGTCGCTGCTCACCCACTTGCCCACCACCTGTGTCCGTCTAGTAGGATCAATGGGGTTCAACACGGCGGTTTCTTCGATCGGCAAGTTGTAGTTTGTGTATGGTGGTGGTGGGATAGCGGGGAGCGGTGGGATAGCAGTTAGCACTCTGCGCTACGAACACGGCGATTCCTGCTCATGGCCAACACCAGTCGCGATTATCTGAACCGGTCCTGGGCCTCCCCTAGGTCGACTCGACCTCAAATTAGTACCTGGTGCATTGCGTAAACATCGCTACTGGAGAGACAAGGGCGGTCGGGCGTGGTGCTGGCCATTGACGCCCTTGTGTGTCGTGCCGGCTTCCATATGTGCGCGCTAACAGCATTTGCTCCTACAGTATGTTAAGGCTATGCGGGGATTCTTTGTCTTTGGGATAAATTGTGGGTATCTTCCAACTTCTCAAAGACGGCCGGCCGTAGCGTGGAAGAGGTGGCCCAAAAAAACCCTCCTGAGCTAGCCTCGAGTTGAGGCAAACTGTGGAGGGATGCACCTTTACCGTCTCTATGGGACATTTTCCAGGATTTTCAAAAAGGTCCCCATAGAGACGATGATTCAATCGTCGTCCCATGGATATAACTGCTCAACCCGAGCTATGCTTTGATACTTGTTGGCGTTCATAAAGAAGGCTGCTGTCTCTGGTGTAGGCCAATCGGTTTCAAAGACAATGCGTGTATTGTCAGGTCATGTCTGTTCGCATGTTTTGCCACAAGTACTTGTGGTTAATGAAGGCTTGATGCCTTGCAATAGGTGTGTCTATTTGGTGTTTGAACATCTTAACACTTCCCGTTGTATTGCCATAAAGGGTAAACCCTATTATGTTTATACTTTCGGTAAAGTCACGTAGGTAGAAAAAATAATTCCTATTCTTTTTTTGTAGTCATCGTCGTTAATGAAGTCGTCGCTGTAGATGATTACGTGATAAGCGGTCGAATTATGTATTTATTTGACGCAATGTGGTCACAGGACGCGAGTGGTTACGAGTTCACATCCCGGTCGTTGGTAGTCAACTCATCAAATCATCATCAGCGGTATTCCACCGGGGGTTCCTAAAATGAATGCTGTACCGCTTTTGTGGGGAGTTAAACATTCAGAGTTGTACTGTGGACTGACTTGCCCCTGCCACGGGAATGTTGAATTTGCGCGAGTGAGTTTTTGGGGGGAGGTGGGGGACGGGGCATAAGGTATCACGCGAGGATTGAACCCCTCTGCTGTGCTAAGTTTGTGTCTGTGCAACCCCGTATACAAAGCAATGTAGCAAATAATATTATAATTGCCATGGATATAAATCTCTTAATAAGCACAATGTGTTAGAGTTGTTATCAATGAAATGTATAAATACATAAATTAGCTCGGACAAATGTGTGTGTGCGTGCCGCTCTGTGTTTGCGTGTGAATGTGTGATAATGGCGAGTGGTGGCGCAGTGGTTAGCTCACCGCGCTACGAACCCAAGTTCGATTCCTGCTCACGTGAGTGACGAAAATTGAAATCGATCCTGGACCTCCCTAGGTCGATTCGGCCTCAATTTAAGTACCTAGCGCGTTATGTAAAAAGATGACCACTAGGGAGATAAAGGCGGCCAGGCGTGGTGCTGGCCAACCCACTCCTTTATGTGCCGTGCAAGCCTTAATAAGAGCTCGCTAACAGCATTTGCCCCAACAGTCTGTTGAAGGTTAAAAGAGCGATCTATGTGTATAGGTGGGAGAGTCAGTGAGTGGGTGAGTGCATTGGTGTAGTGAGTGGGTGAGTGTATAGGTGGCAGAGTGAGTAAGTCGTTGGTGGGGTAATGTATGTATGTTGAACTTCTTTCGCACCCTACTTAGCCAACCGTGCTCAACGGAGGAGTGGGTGAATCGGTGAGTGAGTAGGTGAGTGTATAGCTGGTGTAGTGGGTGGGTGAGTGCATAGGTGGGTGGTTAGTGAGTGGATGAGTGCATAGGTGGGAGAGTGACTAAGTGCATGGGTGGGCAAGCGAAGTAACAAATCAATAAATAAATAAATACTCCTTCGAATTATAATCGTTTTTGGGGTAAGGCCTTGCAATGACGTGACCATATATTGTGTCGTCAAGAACCCGCCACCACCCGACAGCGAATCTAATTAAATGACCACGTGTTGTTACAGCACACAACTACCACATATAGCAGTCGCTAAACGCTCGTGTCTAATTGATTCACTTAACAACGCACAAATAATAGTGCGTTAAACGCTTTTTACGCGTGACAGTTTCATTGGTTTCGGCATGTCGGGGGGGTTGAGGGTTCCTAAAGACACACTTTGGCGAAATTCCCACGTAACGTTATTCACAATCGATTATGAATCGTCGTGGCTGCAAAGGCCACCCCCCCCCCCCCCCCTTGTGTCAAATATGGGTTATTTAATCGTGACTGATTTGTCATAACATGTAACCCTTCGTAGGTTCAATCACCATCTGTCCTGGGAATTAGTGGCTCACTCAAAGACAAATATCCCCCGGTGGTATAGCCTTAACAGACTGTTGGGGCAAGTTATGTTAGTGGTGGCCAGCACCATGCCTGGCCGCCTTTGTCTCCCTAAGTGGTGGCGTTTATGCACCGCACCAGGTACTCATTTGAGGCTGAGTCGACCTAGGGGAAGCCCAGGACCAATTCAAGCTCACCCGCTCACTAAATCACCCAATCGCTCGCTCACCCACTAATTACCTCACGGACTCATTCACTCACTCACCCACTTATCCACTCAATCACTCACCCAAACACCTATTTATTCACCCCCCCACCCAACCACTCATTCACCCACTCACATTCCCACCCACTCATTCATCCACTTACTCACTAATCCACTCACCCACTCGCCCACCCACTCAACCACCCACGCACTCACTCACCCACTCACCCATCCACCCACTCACCCACCCACTCACCCACTCACCCACCCACTCACTCATCCACCCACCAACTCACTCATCCACCCACCCACTTACCCACCCACTTATCCACCCACCCACTCACCCACCCACTTACCCACTCACCCACCGACCGACTCAAGCACCCACCCACTCACCCAACCACTCACCCAACCACCCACCCACTCACTCACCCACCCACTCACTCACCCACTCACCCACCCACCCACTCACCCACCGACCCACTCACCCACTCACCCACCCACTCACTCACCCACCCACTCACCCACCCACTCACTCACTCACTCACCCACCCACCCACTCACTCACTCACCCACCCACCCACTCACTCACTCACCCACCCACCCACTCACTCACCCACCCACCCACTCACTCACCCACCCACTCACCCACCCACCCACTCACCTACCCACTCACCCACTCACCCACCCACCCACTCACCCACCCACCCACCCACTCACTCACCCACCCATCCACCCACTCACTCACGCACCCATCCACCCACCCACCCACTCACCCACTCACTCACTCACCCACCCACTCACCCACTCACTCATCCACCCACTCACTCACCCACTCACCCACCCACTCACTCACTCACCCACCCACCCGCTCACCCACCCACCCACTCACCCACCCACTCACTCATCCACCCACCCACTCACCCACCCACCCACTCACTCAACCACTCACCCACTCACCCACCCACTCACCCACCCACCCACTCACCCACTCGCTCACTCACTCACCCACCCACCCACTCACTCACTCACCCACCCACCCACCCACTCGCTCACCCACCCACACCCACCCACTCACTCACTCACTCACCCACCCACTCACCCACCCACCCACTCACTCATCCACCTACCCACTCACTCACCCACTCACCCATCCACCCACTCACCCACCCACTCACCCACCCACTCACCCACCCACCCACTCACTCACCCACCCATCCACCCACTCACTCACGCACCCATCCACCCACCCACTCACCCACTCACTCACCCACCCACTCACCCACTCACTCATCCACCCACTCACTCACCCACTCACCCACCCACTCACTCACTCACCCACCCACTCACCCACCCACTCACTCACTCACCCACCCACCCACTCACTCACTCACCCACCCACTCACTCACTCACTCACCCACCCACCCACTCACCCACCCACTCACTCACTCACCCACCCACTCACTCACTCACCCACCCACCCACCCACTCACTCACCCACCCACCCACTCACTCACCCACCCACCCACCCACTCACTCACTCACCCACCCACCCACCCACTCACCCACCCACCCACTCACTCACCCACCCATCCACCCACTCACTCACGCACCCATCCACCCACCCACTCTACCACTCACTCACTCACCCACCCACTCACCCACTCACTCATCCACCCACTCACTCACCCACTCACCCACCCACTCACTCACTCACCCACCCACTCACCCACTCACTCACTCACCCACCCACCCACTCACTCACGCACCCACTCACTCACTCACCCACCCACCCACCCACTCACCCACCCACTCACTCACTCACCCACCCACCCACTCACTCACTCACCCACCCACCCACCCACTCACTCACCCACCCACCCACTCACTCACTCACCCATCCACCCACCCACCCACTCACTCACCCACCCACCCACCCACTCACTCACCCACCCACCCACTCACCCACCCACCCACTCACCTACCCACCCACCCACTCACCCACTCACCCACCCAACCACCCACTCACCCACCCACCCACTCACTCACCCACCCACCCACCCACTCACTCACGCACCCATCCACCCACCCACTCACCCACTCATTC